TCAACTGAACTCAAACAATTTTTGTTCGATAAAGGCGTTGCCAGTAGTCACACCGCTGCATATAATCCACAATGTAATGGTCAGGTTGAACGACTTAATGGTACCCTTTGGAAGACCATCTGCCTGGCTCTAAAATCGCGCGGCTTGCCTGTCACACAGTGGGAGGCTGTCCTCCTTGATGCTATCCACTGTATCATATCCCTGTTATGTACTAGTATCAACTGTACCCCACACGAACGTTTTATGCCGTTCACACGACGATCAGCCAACGGTGCCTCCCTACCTACCTGGCTTACTGTCCCTGGGCCAATCCTTTTAAAACGCAATGATCGAGTCTCTAAATATGACCCTCTGGTAGAGGAAGTGGAACTCGTCTCTTGTAATCCACAGTACGCCCACATAGTTCGTCCAGATGGCAAACACGAAACCGTATCCTTGCGCCGCTTGGCTCCCAAAGGCAACGACATGACATCTGACACAGAACAGGAACCAATACATATCGCCGAACAAGAGGAGCCTCACACAACACCAACAATCCACCGTGGTTGCTCAGAAACTGAACTCTTGCCTATTAACGATGCCTCGCCATCCCATTCTAGTGCAGATCCAGGAAATCACTTGTCTTATCTTATCCGACAACAGCGCACTCACCCATATAATCTACGCAACAGAGAGGCGTAAACGACTCCATGTAACTATTACAGCGTTTTTTTACATTACATTCTTTCTCCGCAAAGTACACACTTATTCCAAGGCGGGGAGAATGTCATGACTATATAACCCATACATTTGCATAACCCATTAACTCGTGATTCTTACTCTATTTTCAGCTCATGTACTACAGTTATTAGACGATTAAAGCGTACATTACGTCTTCCTATTCTGTCTCCTTTCTAACCCCGTCCTGGAACTACTCGACTCTCGCAACACTTCACTAATGGACTGTATCGATCCACCAAACCTGCTGGCGGAGATACAGATATACCAAGAGCGTACAATCACACTTACACTGATTGTCAAAAACGCAGACGGACCCTCAATCACTTAGATGCACACAGATTGCACTTTGTGTGCACTCTTCACCAAAAGCCTGTTTCTAGGTCGCGTATAGCATTAAACTGCGGTCCTCGCAACATACCAAAACGGATCCTTCACATGTCCTTTACTCAACCATTTCAAATCAGGTAACTGCTCACATGGTGACAAGAAACAGAGCCGACGTGAAACAAGTTAAAACGCAGTCATGTGCAACATCGAGCATGAGTACGGGGTACTTGGTTGTGCTGCAAACACTTCAATCCGAGAAAAAAACATCCAGCATCATCGACTACGATGGCTCGGTCATGTGCTACGCATGCCGAAACACCGTTTACCGAAACGAGTGTTATTCTCCGTGCCTCCTTCAGGATGCCGCAAACCGCGAGGTGGACAGCACATGACTTGGCAGAAAGGCGTCAAAGAGATCACGAAGAGTTTGGGTGTTGTTGGTGTTGTACGCCTTCCAGGATGTGGTCCCCGTGACCCCGTCTGTGCTTGGCTGGAGACGTTGCAAGAAATGGCAGCCAATCGATGTCAGTGGCGTTCGTGCTGTAGGTTTCTTTCCAGATTGTCTGATTGAGCGGTTGGAGGTGTAGGCACTTCAGTATGCTTGACCTAGGCCAGCACTAGGTCCCCTCCCTCACCCCCTCTTTTTCTCTTCACTAGAAGAACCTCATGGTTGTACGGCAGTGAACCATCAGTGCCAACACTGATGTTGCTGTCTTTGATGATGACGATAATGATGATGACCGGATCCCATAGGTTTTTCAAGCCAAAGAACGAACTGAACTCAGATATGAATAGCTTTGCTATTGAACAGATTCGACGAACCAGGGCTATGTTAAATAATTTCATTTTCTAGTATTTCAATGCTTCTAGGTCGTCTTCCATAAACAAGCGTTTTACGACGCCTGCGTATCTGTCACCTGATTGTTAGTCGTTGGCCACAAAGCTGTGGGCGGATGTATAGTTTTGTTCGGGGACTGTGCCGCTAGCCTCTGACTCAAAATTCTGAACTGCGAAGCAGCAGAGAGTAGAGTTTTTCTTGGGAACCCTGCTCGAAGTCAATAACTTAATAGTCTAACAACGGCGGTGGCAAGGGGTTTGCTTAACACGATGGTATAAGGCATTACTGTCTGACTCCTAATGCGGCTGGCACACACAAATGCTTTTTGAGCAGCACCGGACTCTTTGATTGCATTTCAAATGTATTGAACAATACGCCGGCGGTCGCGATCAACCGTTGGGCGATCGGAGTGTGCGGCCTTCCTCGGGAGAAGGCAGCACAGCATCGCTGCTTCCATAAATATGGACATGCTGGTCGCCTGGAGGAAACGCCTTACTGCCGTCACACTCCAATGCGCAGACAATTACTCACAGTACGGGGTCTCACTGCTCTCCTTTGGCTTTCCTGGCACGGTTGTGGGACGAAGTTCCGGCCAGGGCAGCCTGTGGGATCATTCGAGCACCCGGATTCCACCACCACGACAAGGTGGCAGCCATAGGTCGGGACCCCATGGAGTGTGTCTAGTTTATTTATCAGAGGAGCCTTCTTCCTCTGACAACTGTTTCAGTGTTACTGAGCCGAGTCCCCAGACGCGGATAATGCCTCTGAAACCAAGACAGTCAGACACGGAGAGTACTTGCATAACTGCGCACCGACGCCATGTTCCTGATCCACAAAGCAGTAGACACTACATTTCTCCATCCAAAAACTGGCTGGGAAAAGAATCTACCAAACGGACTCTTATACACACTGAAGGTGAAAACTGTGTGAAAACTAACTCGTTTTAACACCCATGGAGTACACACGGGTACAAACAAGAAATCGGTGTTGAAAAGTGCATGGGGGTGCACGCTAGACCGACACAGATGCATCCAAAGTCACACAACCACGTCAGAGTCAGATGGAATTCCAGTTCCATGACAACCCAAAAAGTAGAGCGACAGTCCCGTGGAATTTTCCACTGGACTGTAAGTATATCGTATCAAAATCTGATAACTCTAGTCATATTTATGTAGGCCACATCATCTATGGACAAACGTTATTCGATTTGTCCGAATTCGACAAGAATATCTGCGGTCAGAACAAAAATTCCACTGCTAGTTCACACACGATGCATTGCGGGTACGTTACAACCTACCCAATTTCGTTGAATAAGACCTCCTAGAGGTAGATACGCACTGAAATCCACCAACTGTTTTCAAAACGAAGTATTTATATGACAAGCTAGCACACACAAGAAAAGTGGAAAGCAAGCAAAGGAGTAGTCCTCGTTGTTGACCCGGGACAGAAACATTCCGATATCAAAACGCAGAGCGGTTGTCAGTAACACATTGCAAAACGTTTGAATGCCAATCGGATACGATACGAATGTATAAACTGGACAGCTGAATCGTATTGGTGAGAAGCTTGCAACTGAGTGAGTACCAGCAGAGTGCATATAGAACTGGAAACGAAGGTACTAGGGTATGACAACTTACCCAAGAATGTGTTCCGCTCTACCCTGCGCTGCTTCGATGCGTATTTTGTTGGCATCCGCCTGAAATAACAAAGCACGGGAATTCGGGTACTGTAATACACAAATGTCTTGCGCAATCAAGGTGAATCACAAACACGGTGCCGCCGGGATAGCCAGTTGTTTTTTTATCACTTTTATACAACCCTGTCGCGGTTTTATCGACCGGAAAACTATGGATTGTATAAATGAATTCAACGCCTCCAAGAAGTAGATTCAGAGGTTGCCAAGGAAACAGGACGGGCTCTGAGAAGGGCCTCATCTCTAGCTTCAAGCAACTTTCCCACCTGTGATTCTCATTATAGGTAAGCGCGACGGAATAGGGAAACAAAAATAGACTTCTAAGCGCCATGGGAGAACCGAATGACCTTTGGGGGCTAGGAAGAAGGCCACGCATGAGCCAAACGGGGATTCAACATACTGACACTGATGCACTTGTTTACATGTCAATACATGACAGGAAAGTGTGTATCAAGCTACATTGCGGTCTCTGTTGTTGTACGGCTGTGGGACTTGGCCTGTTTGAACAGCGGGACGGAGAAATTTTCAGGTGTTCAACAATCGTTGTCTTAGAACCATAGCTCGTGTAGGTTGGTGTCGGAGAATCCATGACCAGGCAATTAGAAAGCGAATTTTTGGTTCTGCAACGGGGACTTCCAATGAGAAATGTGTTCAGGAACAGAGGCTGCGTTGGTTGCGACGTGTTGCGTATGCCTAACCATCGTCTGCCGAAGAGATGGCTGTTGTCTATGCCCAATTCATAGTGGCGGAAGCAGAGAGGTGGCTAACCCTTGACCTGACAGAGTGGTATGAAGGAAGGTGCTACTCGCCTTCCAGGAGGGAAGGCGTGGTCTCCCCTGTGCCTGGATCGGAGACACCGCGGGACATGGCTGCCAACCGATATCAGGGGCGTTCTTGTTGTCAGTTTCTCTCCAAATTGACTGAATGAGTGTTTGAAGGTGTAAGCCCCTCGGAATGATTGTAGTAAGTCCCTTCCATCATCCACTTTCATCCCTTTTTTCACAAAAAGGCTTTCAAACAAATCATGGTTGTACGGCAGCGAAGCATCGATGTTCAACAGTGATATCGTGCTGTCGATGACGATGAGCCATGGCACCGAATCCTACCCTTCCCCCCCCCCTTCCAACCGCATACACCTTGTAGGCCTCAATTTTGCGATTAAACGCTAAGCTACGATACACTTGTGTCAGGAAGCCTCCAGACACGAACAGTACATGGGCGGAGAACGACGCGTCACTGAGGTTACAATCGGTACCACACGTTCCGGATAGCAGGTGCGTGGGTGGAGATTGCCAAGCGTGGCTTAGCAGCATACGACCAGCGGAGTGGACATGAAACTGTTTACAACAGGAATGTCACAATCGACCGAACGTAACAAACAAGTGAATGTCCATATTTGGCCATTTAGCCATCCTATATATTTACACAGAAGCTGTTTGTACGCTTGTCCTAACAATACAGCTGTGTCCCGGGTTTTCTGTCTTCTGCCTACCACGTATCCTGACAGGCCCAGTTCTGGCGTAACCAATAGGCGGCCACCCCCGATACAACTATTTGCCGTCCAACAGCGGAACTCTGCAAAACACGGATGTGGATAAATCAAGGTGAGCAACTCAGTGTAATTCGGACGTGCTGAAAAGCCATTCACAACTGTATCACCGTTGACCAATTCCGAAATTCTCCGTGGTGTGCCGGCGGTTGGATAGCGAAGTAACTGATCAAGCGCTGGGTATCATCACCCTACTCCGACTGAGTGATGCTGTCCGGGTGGCGTGCGGAGAACGTGTCGAAAGGACTCAAGCCTAGGTGGAAAATTTGCGGTGAGTACCACTGGGATCAGAACCCAATCTGTACATGACCAAACTTCGCTCCAAACCACTTCGAGGCGTGACATCTGTGGAGCCACAGCAGACGGCTGTAGTCTGTAGAGGTCACTCATCAGATCATGTGTCACAAGCACCCAAACAACGTGACGCTTCCTGTCTCACTCATCAGATCACGCATCACAAACACTTAAACAACGTGACGCTTCCTGTTCCACTTGCAATCTCAGCCGACAACATGTACACTGCAACTTCCCATCCATTTTCGTTCACACGGCTACCACTTGCGTCACATGCCAGCCAGGCTTACGAAATTCAACCACACCAGGTCAAGCCGTATTGATGTTTGCGCAAGCATCAAACACGAAGGGACACCCCTTTCCTCCTACTGCACACAATAACTAGGCATACAACTCGGCCCAACACACACACACACACACACACACACACACACACACACAGGAAGTCAACCACTCTCCACAAGTTCACGAACAATTATGGAACACGTGTAGCAGTCATACTGCGGAGAAAACACGTTCCCGCCGTCCGGACTTTCACCAAGGAACTCTCACAGACGATAAGTTCCTCTTTTGACTTGTTCCCGCATTTATTTTTATACGTGTGGCATTGCCAACTATACTAAAAACCTTTATTAGTGAATTGTACTATGAACATCATCAACAGTGCACTAACAAGTCCTAAACTAGCGCATTATCCAACGAGTAAGGGTAGTCAGAATTGACTAACTTTGTTGTGGGTAACGCACCCACATCATCATGAGTTTATTTGTATATGTGCAATTCATGGTTGTACGTGGGCTGGGATACTGCCAGGACGCCCACACCTAGACAGGAGGACGATTAGGGTCCTCAACCAAAGCCTTTGGCTCAAAAGCCTAACCGCAAGGCAGCGGTGTTTGGCGGGAAATGCAAATGCATTACCATTTCTGCGGAACATGTCGCCACATGCTCCAACCCCCAACCAGGAGACTGTGTTCGTCAGACCTCTAACCATTGACCAACCTGGCATGAGAGACTCTGTGAGCATCGTGCGGACACTCCCCAGTATAGCTCAGTGGATCGCTGAGGTGCGCAAACCGTCACACCACGGTAAGGTCCGGTCTCTTCGTGACGCACCCACATACGAGTCGAAAATTGAATAAAGCTGTTCCGCTGTCTCCATCTGACCTCGTTTCCCAGATTTACGAAGGATACATAAAAGTTGAACGGATGCCTCTTGCAAGTGACTCAGTAATAGTATGTAGGTGCGTCTCAGATGGAATAACGCCACAAGTGGGCCGTAAGCTGTTGGTCACAACGGGACAAGAGAATGCAGGGTCAATCGATCGTCACAACCAGGACAGTTACTGGGTCGTCGTTCGATGAGTCGGGCACACCAATTACATCGCTCAAGTGTGAACACGTTCGCCTGTTCAGACGTGATAATTCAGATGTGTCCAACGTGCGTTGGTGCAGTAGTGGTTACACGCTCGCCTCACATGTCAGATGTCCGGGGTTCAAGTCCCAGCGAGAGTGGTGTGGCTATGAGCAAACATACCTATCCCGCAAAACCCCAAAATTGCAACCAGATAAAAAAGGAGTGGAACATGAGGGCCATACTTCTTACCTTTTTGTCGATACGCTCCAAAATTTCATTGTGTCCGCGGATTTCCTGATTCATCTCCGTCGCCATTACGTGCAACTGCCCAACTATCTGGCCGGTTTTCTGCAAATTCATCTCCATTTCGTCTTCTCGAGCGTCACCAAGAATACTGCAATGATGAGGAATGGTGGATGGGTAGACAGATATATAGGGAAAATAGGACAAGTCACCAGACCAAGCCGTTCATAGGGAGCTGGGGGAAAATGGGCCAATTATCCTCCTATCTGACGGTGAGTGCGGTAGGTGCTCAGCGTGGCTTCGGACATGAACTTCAAATCTACTTTTTGGAATACAGTAGTATCGAACAAGCTGTGGTGTTTTCAACACTAGACTCAATCCGCAGAAGGTGTGGGAGTTGATATGCTGCCAGATTGTGTTAGACTAAATTCTACAGCCAAACTAGGTGCTGCTACGGCCAACAAACTTAACAGTCACGTGGTAGGTTGAAAGAACGAATCGGTGCCCGCTCCGATCTGAAGGTAAGCCGTGATTAGCCAATAAAGTGGGTCCAACAGCCAAACATATTTCGGTACTTGCTCAATGCATCTGGCGATGGCGTTCGAAATTCTAGAGTTCTTTCCGTGTACGGTATTTACATTCGGTGCGATTGTACACAGATTTTGGCTTGTATGGGCACATATGGTGTAACTTCGGGGGCTATTCCGCTGCAACCGTTAGCATCGACGGATGAGACATAACTGTCCTTATCCCGATCAAACCAAGGGCTTATTGGTCATAAGCAGACGCCACAACCCAAAAAAAAACGAAATTCAGTCGCGAAAAGGGCTAAAATCGATAATGAAGTGATAAGTAAGTCATACACACCATCACCTACCGTTGGATGTATTGTCCTTGTCCAGGAACAGCGGGTTGATCAATCGTAACTCCGTAGCCTTGTTGTCTCGGGGCATTGGGCAACCCAGATTGAGGCCTTTGCGTCGGAGCGGGACGGTGATTTTCGTCATAGTACGTCTTTGCCCTGGGTTTATTGTATCTGTAATTTAAGGGCGAGGGGGCAAGGGTTCGAGCCTGCGCTATTAATATGCATGTAAGGTCGAATGAGATAGAGCAATCAGCCCGCGAAGGTGGAGTATAAAGGGGAATCTAACTGGGAAGCGCTGAGGTGAACACATCGGAGAATTGACTTGTCTACCAGCGTGCGAGGGATAGCTAACGCAGCCACCTACTCGAATTTCTGTCCAAACCCACAACGGTCCACCAGTTGTATACACGGGGGATGCGATCCGGATCTAGAAACATCGTTTCCACCTCGTTAGTCCACACAATATGGTCGCAAAAGCTCCTGTTCAAAAGCAGAAATGGGTCATCCAGTCGAGCACCCACGACTATATCTACCAGGTCTAGAAGACAAATAAATGAGGCTGGATATCATACCGATATCTTGCTTGAAAGCAACTCCACTCTACTTCGACAAGTTTAAGCAAGTATGCAGTATGATTGTGTAGTAGCTGCTTCGGTGTGTCAGAGAGTTTGCGCGTGTGCGTGTCCGTTCGTCGTTCCACCATCGATCTGACATGTGACTTGAGTGGCTGATTGGATGTGTGTCCGATTGGTTGGCTCGCGTGAGCGCTGTGGGTTGACTGGATATGTGACTCAGTTGTTTTGCTTGCCTGCCACGAAAGCGGACCAGTTTGGCCGCGTGTACCCAATACACCCGTGTCCGTACTTACGCGTTCTTCTGACTTACTGTGAACTACAATACTGGCGAGGGTCTGACGAACCCATCTTACCAAATGTCTATCGGAAAGCTAGAAGAATTTACTGCTACTGGAGGTTCCTGGAACCAATATGTGGAACGGGTGAATTGTTACTTTCTTGCTAACGAGATCACCGACGACAAGCGGAAAGTGAACATACTTCTTACGATTTGTGGTTCGGCGACATACAGTTTGATACGCAGCTTGGTCTCTCCTGATTTACCAAATACGAAAACTTTTGACGAGCTTGTGTTTATCGTTTCCAAGCATTACAATCCTAAACCTTCTGTTATCGCTCAGAGATTCAAGTTCAATACAAGGGTACAAAAGGAAGGAGAATCCATTGCGGATTTCGTAGCGGAATTACGGAGTCTTACGGAGCACTGTGACTACGGAGATTTTCGGAACGATATGCTCAGAGATCGATTGGTAGTTGGTGTGAGAAACGCCCGCATACAACAGTGTTTACTTGCTGACAGTAACTTAACTTTGGAAACGGCTTACGATACTGCGGTGGCATTGGAAGCAGCAGAAAATAACGCAACCTTGTTACAATCTGTGCAACCTACCGTGACATCAGAGTCGGTGGATTCATCGTATCAGGTGAATCGATTACAGCAACCGTCGAACAGAACACAGTTTAAGTGTTATCGTTGTGGAGGCCGTCACAATCATCCGAAGGATTGCCGGCACACACAAACTGTTTGCAATCGCTGTAAGAAACGAGGCCACCTCGCGAAAGTGTGCCGCTCAGCACCAGCGTTCGATACTAGCGCTGCTGTTACAAATCAAGTTACAAGGTCGGAAATCCCAGAATACGTCCTTCATGCAGCCGCTCCCACCAACCGCGTTCAACCGCCGTATCAAGTAGAACTACAGGTGAACAGTGCGCCAATGGTTTTCGAGCTGGATACGGGTAGTGCCGTAACACTATGCAGTGAAAAGTCATGGCAAGACAACCTGGGACCGACCGTGAAAGGTAACCTTCAGCAAGCCCCAGTCCGGCTTCGAACATATACAGGAGAAGAGGTGAAGTTGCTGGGGACGAAAAATGTGAATGTTTCATATAAGGGTGTGACGGTGAACGAAACCATATATATTGCTGAAGGAAGTGGTCCAAACCTGTTGGGACGTGATTGGCTTCAACAACTACCCATACTTACGTTAAACCAGGTCTCGACACTCCCGGAGGTTCAATCTCTTATCCGCAATTATGAAGAAGTATTTTCTGAGCCGAATACTGGCAAGTTCTCCGGGGGAAAGGTGAATATATACGTTCCGCCTGGAACACAACCGCGATTCCTGAAGGCTCGGTCATTGCCCTACTTGATGCGTCCAAAGGTTGAAGAAGAACTTAACCGTTTGCAACGGGAAGGAATAATTCAAAGCACGGAGTTCTCGGAGTGGGCCACACCAATCGTGCCAATACTGAAACCGGACGGCACAGTTAGAATTTGCGGTGACTATAAAACCACGGTCAATGCCAGCACACCCCCAGAACATTACCCGTTACCTAAAATCGAAGATGTCTATGCACAAATCGGTAAGAGCAAATATTTTTCAAAACTAGACCTAGCTCATGCTTATGAGCAATTGGAATTAACGGAGGAGGCGAAACCTGTTACAACCATCAGTACTCATAGAGGTCTGTTTATGTTTAATCGCCTTCCTTTTGGAATCCATTCCGCTCCATCCATATTTCAACGCACAATTGAAAATGTTATCGCGGGGATACCTAAAACGTTCGTCTATCTAGACGATATTCTGATAACCGGGTGTACCATTGAGGAGCATTTAAAGTTGCTGAAACTGGTACTCGATCGTTTGAAGGAGTGTGGACTACGAATAAAGAAAGAGAAGTGTGACTTCCTGGTAGATCATGTGGACTATTTGGGTTTCCGCATCAGTGCGGATGGTTTGGCCCCTCTAGCCGAGAAAATACGTCCAATATTAGAGGCACCGCAACCAAGGAATAAACATGAACTAAGATCTTTCTTGGGCATGGTTAATCACTATGCGAGGTTTATCCCGCAAGCTGCCACACTTTTTCACCCACTGAATTACTTGCTACGTCAGGGAGTCAGCTGGATTTGGAATCAAGAACAAGAGAAGGCGTTTCAACAGGCGAAACGTGCCCTTACGAATCCTCCGGTGCTTACTCATTTCGATTCAACACAGCCCATTGTTCTCGCTTGTGATGCTTCACCATATGGTGTTGGAGCTGTGTTATCGCAGAAGGATAAATCGGGAATCCTCAAACCAGTTGCTTACGCTTCACGATCTTTGTCGCCTTCTGAGAGGAATTACGCACAAATTGATAAGGAGGCATTGGCGATTCTGTTCGGAGTAACGCGCTTTCAGCACTACCTTTTCGGACAAACGTTCGACATATTTACGGACCACAAGCCTCTACTTGGAATTCTCGGAGAAAATAAACCAATACCTCAAATGACGTCGCCTAGAATGCAACGTTGGGCCTTAAAACTTGCATGCTATCGGTATCATTTGCGGTATGCTCCAGGACAAGGGAATCTCACAGCGGATGCCCTAAGTCGCCTACCATTACGAGATGTACCATTACACACACCGAAACCGGCCGAACTGGTAAATCTAATGAGTTGGGTTGATGATTTGCCTATCACTGCTGCGGAAATACGAGTAGAAACAAGAAAGGACCCAGAGCTCTCACGAGTCCTTCGTTTCACTTCATACGGGTGGCCGGAGAATGTTGGAAGTGCACTAAGCGGATTCTACGAACGATCGTCGGAGCTAAGTGTAGAAGACGGATGTTTATTATGGGGAGCAAGAGTGATAATTCCGAGGCGCTACCGTCCGGACATTTTAAGGGAATTACATTCAGGCCATCCAGGTAACACGCGAATGAAGGCTTTAGCCAGACACTATGTCTGGTGGCCTGGTATCGATCACGATGTGGAAATGGTCGTGCAAGGGTGTGAAGCGTGTCAGCAAAGTAGGGCTTTGCCCGCAGCAGCGCCCATATCACCATGGCAGTGGCCGTCACGACCGTGGAGCCGCATACACGTGGATTATTGTGGCCCTGTTGAAGGTTACATGATCCTGGTGATTGTCGATGCATATTCCAAGTGGATAGAGGCGATACCCACTAGAACTGCATCTAGTGCGTCGACCATGTCTATACTTCGCAGCGTTTTTGCATTGCATGGTGTGCCTGATACGATTGTTTCTGATAATGGCACGGCTTTTACCAGTGCGGAATTTCAGCAGTTTCTGAGAGCCAACGGGATTGAGCATGTTCTAACACCACCATACCATCCCGCTTCTAACGGCCTGGCGGAACGCGCGGTGGCAACGGTAAAGAATGGATTGAGAAAACAAAGCCCAGGTCCCCTACAAACAAGGTTGGACAAGTTTTTGCTGCAGTACAGAATTACGCCGCACACTACTACTGGTCAGGCTCCCTGCGAATGGCTAATGGGACGAAGACTTCGAACACGTATGGATCTACTGCGGCCTGATTTGGCGCTTAGGGTCAAACAACAGCAGTGCTCCATGAAGCAAAACGCAGATAAACACGCCCGACCTCGCACATTACGAGATGGCGAGGAGGTTTACGTCAAACTTCAGCCTTCAGATAATGAATGGGTACGTGGATGTGTGAAGTCGACAAACCGTAACCTTATTGACATGCTGTTAGAAGACGGGAGGATAATACGCCGTCATTTAGACCATATCAGAACTAGGAAGCATGGACCGGGTGCGGAACAAACACTGGAGACGCCAGTGCAGGTGGACTTCGGAGGGAAGCAAGAGAGCTTGGAAACACCCATAGATGCGCCAAGGTGTCTGCGGCGGTCGGCTAGGGAGTCAAGGCCGGTCGAACGTTATCAAGCTGGAGTTGGCTAAATCTAGCGGTGGAGGACTGTAGTAGCTGCTTCGGTGTGTCAGAGAGTTTGCGCGTGTGCGTGTCCGTTCGTCGTTCCACCATCGATCGGACATGTGACTTGAGTGGCTGATTGGATGTGTGTCCGATTGGTTGGCTCGCGTGAGCGCTGTGGGTTGACTGGATATGCGACTCAGATGTTTTGCTTGCCTGCCACGAAAGCGGACCAGTTTGGCCGCGTGTACCCAATACACCAGTGTCCGTATTTACGCGTTCTTCTGACTTACTGTGAACTACAATAGATTGGAATCATGATCCATGTAGCTAGTGAACCAAGTTTAGTTCCGGAAAACTTTAAGTGTCCAAAGACTTTGTTGTCCAGACGCAACACATTACTCATAGGTTCGCTGAAAA